GGAGAGCGCTCGCCGTCGGGCTGGCGGAAGGCGGAAACCGGCGCCATCTTTTGGGTGCGGTTTTCTGCAGCTCCCTACAACTAAACACTAACAAATGGAACAGAAAGAGGAAAAGAGGAGAGAGTTGACTGACATGTCGGACACTGGAATTGTAGAAGGCACAGCACAGTTTGTTTTTATTGAGTTGACCAATTTCCTGCCTAATGTTATATGCTACATAACAAAAATAAGAATAACACATTAAGCCCAGTGAGCTGCAGAATTAGGGTTTCCTGCAGCTCCAAAAACCCTTCCTCCTCAACACACCTGGTCAGACCTTCCCCTGAGGTGGACTCAGGCAAGGTCTCTGCTGTGAGAGAGAATGAACAGCTGTGCTGCTCCAGAGATGGTCTAAGCACTCCCAGCTGGGTCCTGGCACTCTGCTAAGGGACACGGAGAATTACTTAGAGCATCAGTAGCAAATAAGGTCTCTGATACAGTGACAGCACAAGACACGGAAGACCATGTTGTGACCACACAGAGCTCCCAACAAAAACAACAGCATCCACTGCCCTGAAAATGGCTGACACATGTGACTGCTGCTGCTTGGCCAATCAGAGTCCAATCTCCTGGGTGAGGTGCATGAAAATAGCCATTCAGAATCATCCCAAATTGGAAAGGCCATCTCATACCGAACAGGTATCAATTCCCAATTACAACCACACCCAACACAAGCCTGTGTTTATCATTGGTCCTTTCCATCTTTGTCCCATTGAGACTCCTCCCCCATTCCCCAAAGCGGTGCTCTGTCTCTTACAGTGAGATGAAAAGTACAGGTGTGGTCATGGTTGATTTTACCAAGTCCTGACACAGACTCATGGTCCAATTGAATTGAAAACCCTGAAACCTATGGATATCTGACTTTTAACAAAGAAGTCAAAGCAAGAAAGCATCTTCAATAAATGGTGCTAGCATAAATGGATATCAACATGCAGAAAATTGCAAATAGATCCATATCTATCACCATGCACAAAACTCAAGTCCAAGTAGATCAAAGACCTTAACATAAATCCAGGTACACTGAAGCTGATAGAAGAGAAAATGGGAGGTAGTCTTGAATGAACTAGTTCAGGAGACCACTTTCTACACATAACACCAGATGCACAGACACTGAGAGCAACAATCAATAAATTGGACATGAAACTGAAAAGCTTCTGTAAGGCAAAGGAGATGGTAAATAAGACAAAACAACAACCCACACAATGGGAAAAGATCTTCACCTACCCCACATCTGACAGAGAGCTGATCTCCAAAATATACAAAGAACTAAAAAAGCTAGACATCAAAATACAAAATAACCCAATGGAAAAATAGGGTACAGAGCTAAACAGATAATTCTCAACATAAGAATCTCAAATGCCTGAAAAACATTTAAGGACCTGCTCAACATCCTCAGTCATGAGGGAAATGTAAATAAAAAAAAAAAACTCTGAGATACCATCTTACACCTGTCAGAATGGCTAGGACCAAAAACACTGATGACAGCCTATGAGAGGATGAGGAGTAAGGGGAACACTCCTCCACTGCTGGTGGCAGTGCAAACTTATCCAGCCACTTTGGAAATCAGTATGATAATTTCTCAGAAAATTGGGAATCAATCTACCTCCAGACTCAGAATTACCACTCTTGGGCATATACCTAAAGAATGCTCAATCGTACCACAATGACACTTGCTCAACTATGTTCATATCAACATTATTCATAATAACCAGAATCTGGAAACAACCTAGATGCCCCTCACCCAAAGAATGGATAAAGAAAACGGGGTTCACTTATACAATAGAGTACTACTCAGATGTTAAAAACAATGACATAATGAAATTTGCAGGCAAATGGATAGAACTAGAAAAAAATCATTCTGAGTGAGGTAACCCAGACCCAGAAAGACAAACAAGGTATGTGCTCACTCATAAGTGCAGACTAGATGTAAAGCAAAGGATAACCAGACCACAAGCCACAGCTCCAGAGAAGCTAGGTAACATCAAGGACCCTAAGAGGGACACATGGATCACCCTGGGAGGGGAAATAGACATGGCAATATGAAAAATGACATTTGTTAAGTTTTTATCTCTCTGTTACTTAAAGATCTGTATCCTGGGTTTTGTATCCAGGACAGATAGTAGACAATTTTCCTACAAAAGACAAGTTCTAAGTTTCAGAAAATTGATAAAAACATATAGGATTCTTAGCTATTATAGTTCCTCTATAATACAGCTTCAAACATTATTGAGTAGATAAATATTTCATGGTAAGCACTTTCCTTAAAGCCC